ACAAAATTAGAAATGATTCTCAAAACAAGTTAATTATTTTTAGAAAAACTTTAGATATGCTTACACGTTTGTTTTGTCTATAGGTATCTTATTAGCTATCAGTTTGTTAGCTGAACAAATGGATGAGATTAGTGACATTTCTTTTTCAAAACATTTATGTATGTAACTGGTTGTGGACTTATGAACATATTTCATACTGCTGCCTTCTTTGAGAATAAATCTATGCAAAGCCATGTGGCTACATCTCTGAATCAGTTGTATTCTGAAATAAAGTAGCTACAGGTTTGAAAAGTCATCACATTTCAGGCTGATTTGATAGATGAGTCAGAGGCTGCTTAGGTTGAGATTTTCTTTTTATTATTTCTGTTTGTGTTTCTAGTGAATTCTTAACATTTTTTTATTTCACATATACAGTAATTTAATTGAATTCTAACTACAGATCAACAAAGAATTAGGAATTATTACATTTAGGTTTGTAAGTAAGTAGTATTTTCTTTAATTCTGGTATTCATGGGGAGAAATTATACAGTTTTAAACATCTGCAGAATAATTACAAATTCATATAGGAAAGAGTGTCTCCACACTTATGTTGGTGCAGGGGAAAATTATAGTAATTTGCCCTAATATTATTAATAGATTCATTATCAAGTGATATTTCTGACTCTGTAAATTCAGCTAAAATACTGGTACAATTCTTACTATAACTTACAGTGATTATTTTTGTTGGTTGATTCCAAAGGAAGACATTCTTGTACTTTTCCTATGTATTGATCTTTTCGTAAGAAAATGATGAATTAATTTTTAAAATAACATCACTAGTACATTTTTTTAAAGTTTAAAACTAGGCAACATTGTACTGAAATGGAAGTCTGGTGATTTTTGTTGTGCGGTACATCATTATGGCACTGCTCCTCTCGCCAAGCTTACAGGGCATATTTCAGTCTGTATGACTTTGAAGTATGTGTTCTCTTAAGGCTTAACAATGTCAAGCTTCATAACGCAAGAGCTAGTTTGCTTACTTCCTACTTTAAATTGCTCGTAATTTGAAACATGCAAACATTTCCATTTTATCAAGCAAGGCTACTAAACATATTATTGCTGCAACCTGCATGTTTTATTGCCTCTGTATATTTAGAAAGCTGTGCTTTATTAAAATAAACTGTAAAGAGGCTTAACTCATTATGGAATCTGCTCGTCTCTAAAATGAAATATCTTCAATTTATTACAGGGATTTAGGAACCTTTGAATGAAGAAAGGATATGATACAATTGCTACAGAAATGGGATGTTAACTATTTTTTAGACATTTGTAGCTGCAATTTGTACGACTATTCTGGGATAGGTCTGTCTACAGTCAGCCTGAAAAAAAAAAAAATCACAGTTATATTCTGCTCTCTGTTAGAATGATTTTTTAATACTTTAAAATCCTTTAAAATACTTCCACAAAATAATTTTCTACAGCATCACTTAATTTTAGACTTAAGCATTAGGTCACATGCTCAATTTTCTCTTTCATCACTTTATCTCTGTGATGAGAAAGCCCATCCTGGAAGCAATAATAGAAGCTGGAACACTTAGTCTACAAAATTTTACAGCTTTTGTGAAGATATATTTTGTAGAAAATGTAAGCAGATTCTAGTTTTGTCAGAGAAACTGTACTATAGCTGTTGATTTGTTGACATTCATATTTGGTTACAATTAAACAGTTGATTCAGCTTAGGGCCCAAGGCAACTCTACTGATTAGACATAATGGTTCCAAAGGAGAAAAACAGTTTCTTTTTCATATGGCTAATTCCCGATCTTTATGTTGTCTTTGGAGAAGGTGCTCAGTTCTTAACATTTGAATTAATAACATTTGCAAAGTTATTCATTATTTAGGCTTTTGTAGAACTGAACTTTGATCTTGCAAGGAAAAGTACACATAAGTGAAATATTTCTAGCCACCACTGCAAATTACAGATATAAGGGCAAGGGTAATAAACTACCTGTGACAGGAATTGTGTTTTATTTTTTCCTGAAAAATGTTTCCTGAGTGTCAGACAAAACTGTACCAATAAAAGATCTGAAATAATTAAATAATTCTGAATGCTGCCATGGAGCTTTGAGGCAACATACTGTAATTTGATCAGATAAGGACTTTTGCAAGACAAAGTTAGCTACTAATTATGTGCATTTCTGACAATCTGGAGATTCGGTCTGCAGACAGTTTCTGAATTCTGGTTGAGATCCCATAGTTCACAGAGATTAGGAGTTTGTCCCAGTGGTGAATGCACTGTATATGTCTGTGATGTTTCTCAGAGCTGTTCCTGTACCAAGTAATGAATATTGTTGCTGAATTTTGAGAGTGCTCATTCATATAGGAACACCTTAGAATAATGGGATGGTCACATCCTCTTAAAACAAAACAAAACAAAAGTTTTATTTAAATCCACAATATATACACTGACTTCACAAAATAGAAAATTTCCAAGAGGAAAACAAAGAGCTGAGGTCTTAATGCCTTGGCAGATCTACTGAGTCTAAATAGGAGTAGGATTGAAAGGATTTACAGAAATGCAATGAGTTGTAAAAGCAACAGAGCACATTTTTCCAGCAGGAATGTCTTCCCTTATCTTTATCTAGTCTTCTGTTACAGCTGATGGCACAGATGAAAGAGTGATTATGAGATGCTGTGGCTGGCAAGGGGCTGCATACGTATGTGGTATTTTGTTTAGCTCCACATACTTTTGGTGCTAGCTAGAATTTTGGAGAAAGAACAAAAGAAAAATAATAAAAAAAAAAAAAAAAAAAGGAAGGAAAAGGAAAAGAAAAAGTCAAGCTTTTAGAAACATTGAAAAATGCCTTGTTGTTTCAAATACTGTATGTCCTACCAGATACAAATTGTAAATCAAGAGTTCTGACGAATTTGAAACTCTGGAAAAGGGGTGGACAAAAAAGAGGAATCTGTTTTGTGGTCATGTATCTGTTATATTTGGGCTACCCCATCCTGCCTATGAAGAGATGGAAAGCCTGCTGCAAGAGAAGCTTTGGCCAGAGCCAAAGCTGCTGCACTTACACAAAAGAGGGTTTAAATCTACAGGAGTGTTGTGTGAGGGAATGTAAGCAGCAGCCTAGCAATATGACAAAACCTGAATAGGGGGAAGAAGCTAAACCAAAACTGTCTTAAATGACATAGTATAGGGATGACAATTTTAGAGGAAGTGGAAAGTTCTCCTTTGACTAAACTTGTCTTGCTTCTTGGTTAAAAAATGGAATAGCTTTGATAAAAAAAAGAAAGTATTATATATGTTGGAAAGTACATGAAATATGGACCTGATACATTTTTGCTGCTGTTAATGTTCTACTTGCATACTTCAGGTAAACAGGCCAATGATATGCCATGAGAGTCAAATATATTGGCATTCACAACGAAAATGCTTGGAGTATTGTTTGCTAGTGAAAACATTTGCACACATTTCTATGAACATTCTTAGCTATTTTTTCAACTAGATGTTTACTGTTTCTTTTTTAACCACGTAGTTCCCATTCCATACACATATTGCACAAATTTGAGCAAATTAAGCATCCTGAAGACAAGGAAGATGTAGGTGTCTGTCCAGTTTCTAGTGGGTATACCATAAAATCCACCTGTACATACATCAGTAATTGATTAATGATGTGATTATTACAGGCGTGTTTTAAACCACACAAATGCAATTTTTAGGGCTGTTTTACAATTAACCTACATTTCTACAGCTTTGTTGCCAAGAAATGTTTCATGGCTAAGCAATACCTTTATTTAAAGCAGATATCAAAACTGCACTTGAATGCATGTTGTATGTTTAGCTTTAGATTTGCTCTCCATCTTCCTTAAGCTGTTGGAAGCATCAAGAACTCATGTGATTTAAATTAAAGAAGGGTGGGAACTGTTGCAAAACTATTTAGACCACCTTCAAAGAAGATGCTGACAAAACTTACCAAATTTGTTCCTGTTATTTTGTATGCAATTTTAAGGAGCTACAGTGAATCTCACATTCAGGAAAGGGACACGGACATTTGCTTATTAACTTTATTATTATTATTATTCAATGTGCATTAAGAGATCTAGAACAAAATCTCGAGATGAATTGTTGAATACCGGTATGCTTCAGATTTAGGTACCTTTTTTCCTCCTAAATTAAACAGAGAGAATGAAGTGCCTTAAAACTGTTTCTACAGCAGGGATCAAACTGAATCATTGAATCCCAAACAAGTAGCATGATCAGGGACCTGAACACTTAACACTTTCCTTGCAGTTGAATCACTGGGCTGGAGAATCCTCTTTGTCATCTTATCCTTTCTCTGTCTATGTGAATCCTGTGTTCATCCTCTCCACTACCTCAGCATACTCTTAGGTCTTCACAGCCTGTGGATTCATTAACTCTCTTGGAAGACAAGAAACTTCTTTAGATTCTGTGAAACTTCTCTAGATTCCTTATTCCACTGAATAAACATTGAGATGTCTCCCTCTTCTTTGATCACATTTTGGGAGTCATTTGACAGCTGTGATTTATATGAGTCTTTCATTGGGTGTGTTCTGATAGCACCTATCTGTCTGCTGTACCTTGGGAATATTGGCTTCTGAGAGAACATAAGAAAAGGGCTGGTTTAGCTGCTAGATAATCTCAAGCTGCTTCCTCCTTCTAGTGAGAAACCAGTTATCACAAGTGCAAAAGCGACAATTAAGCACTTTGTAAACTATGAACACATAAGTGATTATAGACTTAAGCAACTGTGAAGTCAGGATGAAGTTTGAAGGAGTGGGGTATAGAAGCATATAGAAGGCCTCTTAATCCTTTGTTAGACGCTTAAATCCTTTTGTAAATCTGAACATTAGCCTCCCAAGTATAAGGAACACAGGTGCTTTAAAAATATATAAATTCAGTAGATTATGTTTTATGTTTTAATTTATCCTTGAACATATCTTAGTTCAGTTATTGACCAGAATTACTTTTAAAATACCATTTTCTTATGCTTTGCAGTGATGATGATGCCTTTTTGACATTGCAGCTAACAACCATAATTGAGAAAGTTATTCCAACTGAAATATGTAAGTAATGTTTCTTTGTAATTGTAGCTCTTCAGTAACAGGCTTAATGAATGTCATGTTAAGCAGTTAATACTATGATAATTTACACCCTTTTGCTACCAAAAGCTCTGCACTTTTCTATCTCGCTGTTTTCAAATGACAAAGCCCACTTCTTAAAATTTTCTTCATGTTCTTATAACACACAATGGGATACATTACCTGAATTATGGGCTCACTTTTGCAAAAATAGTCAAACAAACCCATTTCTTTTATTAGAAGATTGCACTTGAATATCTTCCATCTAATCCAGCGCCTAGCAGTACATGCACTCTGCAACATTCACATGATACTGGTTCTCAGACTGCTGCAGTTTTCAGCCTAACTTCACCCAGTATGTCTCTGTATTTGGGAATGAATTGATCCTGGCTTTGCAGGGTCTGCAGTTCCTCATTCTGTCCCAAGAATGGGGTCTGACTGAAAATACACTCTGGTTGGAGTGACACTAATGTAGCAAGAGGAACTGTTGGTAAAAATGTTCTCCAAGGCATGGAGCATGTATGGGCCAGTGGAAGAGAGAGTAATGACCCTCATTTTTCTTGGGGGAAAGAACTAGCCTTTTCCGTCCTCTAGGCCCTTAGCATCACCTCCAGCTTCAGATGCTTACCTGTAGTTGTTTCCATCACCTTTGCTGTTTCTTTCCCTCCAACAGTTAATAATGCATGCATTATCAGAATAATTCTCCCTCCAATAGGTATCTTGTCAAAATAGGGATGACAATGTGCTTTTAATGCACAAGCTATGATGTCTTCTCAATATTATCTTAGTGCACCCGAATATTTTCATCCTTATTTCAGTTTTGTGGTTTTATTTGCTCAGCTCCTCTTGTTTAACTGTTAGTTTTCTGTTCATATATATGCTTTTATCAATTTTCACGTATGCTTCATCTTTTGAGAATATGGTCGTTAAGAGGTCAGAGAGGTGATTACAAGTTGTAAAATGACCTTACCAGTAACTGTTTAAGCATAAGTAATGTTCTGAAATTGCCTAGAGCAAAAACTGCCAATTCAGAGGTGATTGTAATGAATCAGTTTCTTCTATACGAAATAATGTGATCAATTTCTCATTTCACTGAATAAATAAGCTGGAAGATAGGGAACTGCCTATGACCTGCTGTTAACCTTTTCCCTCATTATTCATATCAAATCTATGACATGCATGTAAGAAATCTCTGGTTCAATTTTAGCTAATTATTTGTTAGAAGTGAAGGCTCTGTGAAGTGTTACTGATTGTACAAGTACCCAGGGACCTTATGACATCTAATGAAAATAATCCTGAAGAAGCTACTCAGGCCTGTATGTTTTTTGTCTGGCTATCATTATAACAAGAAATACTCTATTTCCAGGCAGCAAAACCCGTGTGCTGTTTACCACTTCTCTCAGATGCAAGGTGTTGTTATAATTTATTATATATCAATTATTGTGACAATGAGAGCATTGGAGAAAGCAAATCTAGGATGTGCATTGGAATGGATTCTGCATTTGTGTGCATACTTCATTAATACTTATCAATTTTGTGTCTGAAGTGTTTGGCTTTTTAATGTAAAAAACAATTCTAGTTAACTGGCTGCTTTTATTTTTGTGGCTAGCTAGAAAAAGCCACAAAAATACACCAGTATGTGTTGAATACAATTAATTCCACATGAGCTTTTTGGCATGATTTATTGCTATCTTTTAAAGTCAACCTGTTTTGCACTACAGTTCAACTAAGAAGAGGCATACATGGCTGAGGAATAGTAAGGGTAACATTCTCAAAAATAGAGAGCAAATATAGAAATATAGCCTTTCGGATTTTTGTTTGTTTGTTTATTTTTGTTTCTTAAGGATGCCACGGGTGCAAAGGGCCCAAGTGAAGCTTGGCAAAGAGATCTCCCCCACTACCTCCAGGACTACTGTGTACATATGCAGCTCTTAGTGAACTGACTAAAAACCTTGCTAAAAAAGTACAAATTAATAGCTCAGGTATAGTGCTACCCATGGACATAGGGCTTTCAGGTTTTGGACTAACGTCACCAGTCTTAGCACAAGATCTCTGTTCCGTACTAGATCCAAAAGCAAATATTTTTTTATCACAGTATCCCTAAGAAATTCCTGACACCCATCTTGCAAGTGGGAAAAGTGTGGTTGAATGTCTTGTAGTGTACATAAATGTGAATGTCAGGAACCTTCTATCTTTGAATTATAAGACAATCACCTCCCTAGTTCAATGAGTGAAAAACACCTCAGGAATTAACAATGTTCGCATCAGTGAAATAAGTTTCAAGTTGTATTATTTCTGTTTGAATAAGCTATGAAGACTGCATCTGCTCATGAAACACACAATGGAAACAAAGAAATCAAGGAAATTGAGAATTAGAATAGAATGTCTGAATAAAACAAACAAGACGGGGCTGATCTTTTTGATGTTTAAAACTGTAGAGCTGTTGAATAAATAATAAATGTAATGTTGTTAAAGCACAAAAACAATCAAAAATGAATGTATTAGAATATCACAGGAAAAAAAAAAAAAGCTAACTCCACAGATAAAGCATCTCCTTAGTGATAGAATAACTACCACAAAAAAAAATTGATAAAATATGAAATTTCTTTAATAATTCCCAAATTTCCGTCTTTCCACAAATTCAGCATATGTTACAAAATATAATGGTGATGTGATTCATTTTTCAACTATTTACATAGTTTCCAATATTTTAAAATTAAATTAAATCAGTTAAATTAAATTAAATTCAACAATTTTAAAATGTAATTTTTCTGTATTGTATGTGTAGATTGTTTTTTTTTTTCCATAGTTAACTGTTTGATTTATATATAAAATATGCATCTACTGATTTATTTGAGGCATAATGATTAAAACCACAATAATGACAACCTTTGAATTTAATATAATTAAATATTTAATATAACGAAGGAAATTACATTCCAATTATTACCTAATAGTGTCGCCATCCTTCCCTTCCTCCCCCCATCTATAAATACCTAATATTGACCAAGAGTGGGAAGACATTTTATTATTTCATTTCCTGAAAATAATTGGCAAGATGAGGGTAGAAAGAGAGTATTTTAATCTATCAGGATATTTTTCGAAGTCAATAAGCAAATCTCTGGTAAATGGGACAAAGCAAAGTGTTTCAGATTGGAATTTCAAATTCTTCTTCAATGTTCTGTTCATGTGAGAATGTCACAGTTCAAGAAATGGTGATTCAAATTCTCCAAGAAAAGATACTGGTGTCAGTTGTGATAGGATGGCTGCAGCTATCTCATGGTGAGTACTGGCCTTCCTAGCAGAACTGAGGAGGGAAGTACCCCTGTCACAGTCTGTCATGGGGGTATCTGTTGATAATATCTTTCCCCCAGCCTCCCCTTCACGATGACTAAAACTTGTGAATGTGTCTAGGTAAATATAAGATTTCAGTTTTCAAGGCTATTACCTCTCCAGTCTTTCTGCATGCTAGTTACCTACTTGTGTTGATGGTGTACCCTTACTATGGCTTTGCTCTCCTTTCCTTTTCCTATTTTTCTCACATTCTTCTTATTCCACAAACCAAATAAGGGGCCAAAACAGGAGGAGGACTGATTTCCCACTTCTTTGTCCTTTCGTATCTGTTGAACATGAGAGATTTTCAAACAGCCTGAAGGATTGATCTGACTGCAAAACCACTCTCTCAGGCCAGCAGATGCAAACTTCTGGAGGAGAGGGCTTAACATCGTCCATAGGAAGCTCTTTGAATTCTTATATGTATGAAGGGCTTAAAACAGTGGTATGAAGTAGATTGAAATGAAAGTGAAGTGAATCCCCTCTTAAGTAAGCTTCACGCTACTACAGCATGCATGTTCCAATGGCAGCACTAATGGTTAGAATCTTTAGAGGTAATGTCACAGATGATGCCACTAAGGTCTGGAATGATAGGCAGTGTGTAGCTCCAACTTTTATTTTGCACAGGTGTAAATAACTTTACAAGCCTTGAAGGCAGAGGGGATTACAGCCAATGGAATTATAGCCTTGAAGGCATTTTTATAAGTTTAGCAAAGAAGCCCTCAGAACATGGGTTTATCAAAAAGGCCAATGACAGAGTCCCGGCAACACCAATGCCACCAGGCACAGTTGAAATTAAGTTAGCGAGAAGAAAAATGAAAACTGCTCCTTTTCCAGCTAAGCTGGTCCATGGTCTTCCTTGACCCTGGGGCTAGTGATTGCTGACCAGAATTTCAATGGCTATTTTCTAGTGACAATTCTGTGTCTGAGCTCATTAATCAATTTCTATTCAGCAGAATCAGTTTGTGGAAAAATTGTAAAGGTTAGTCAATCCAGAGGGAACATGTACTGTTAGACAGAAGACTTTTCAGTCACAGTCTTAAAACAAAATTTCCCAAATCTCTGCCTTGTATTACATTTTCTGTCTTTATCAATTACTGATAGCAAAGAACGAATCAAGCCTTTCACTACAACCAAATCATTCATGGTAATGTTAGGAAAACATAACCTCAGCCTGCCTGCCTTAAGAAAAGAAGCCTTTCGGTATCATTACCTCACTAAAACTGTCACATCCCTTAACCCTTTGGCTTCAGCATGAAACAGGAAACAACAATGGTGAAATAGATTAGAATATGTAGAGGCTTTTCTATAGCTCTCTCCAGTAATATCAGTTATCATCCAGTCTAAGAACTGGATTTGAAAGCAGTTTGTAGAAACCTCCAATCTATTCAAGTCCTTGCAAGGTTAATTCTTCCAAACACGTAGCATGGGACTTGAGTGTCTTCGAGGAATTCCCCAGACTTTGCAGCCTTGCACGAGTATGCGCACACACTAAGGCAGGACACCCGGGAAGGGAAGCAGTTACAGGGGTGACCTGTGGAAATGAGGAGTGTTTTAGTGTTGTATAAATTGGCTTAATGGCTTCAATATGAAGAATAAAATACTGCTTTATTTTTTAAATATGGTGAAAATATTTTTAAAACAAACCTTCA